TATTCAGCATGAGGAAGTAAATCACTTTCAGTTCATTTAGCCTCTTATCTCAGGCTGCGTTAGTAAGGACTATCAACTGTATGAAACCTTCCTCTTCTTTTAAGATGTTTTGCCAACAAAATTTTTAAAGGATATTTGTCACTTTTTAATTCCTGATATTCTAACAGTTTTTAACAAATCATTATCTACAGGGGTAGTTCAGAAAATGTTTAAAACTACTGCTGTTGAACCATAATTGAAGAAACACAACCTGGATTGTAACGATCTTAACAACTTCAGGCCGATCTCTAAATGACTCTTTATTGTGAAAACTTTAGAGAAAGTGTTGTACTCTCAGATCTTAACTTATTTCAACAAAAACTCACTTTTTGAAGTTTCAGTCTGGCTTTCGTCAATATCACAGTACAGAAACCGCATTATTAAAAGTTGTGAATGATATTAGAATGAACTCAGATGCTGGCTGTTGTACAGTCTTAGTGCTCTTAGATCTTTCTGCTGCGTTTGATACAGTTGATCATAATATTTTATTGAGCTGACTCAATTATTGGCTCGGTGTTAGAGACATTGCTCTGAGGTGGTTCAAATCTTATCTTCATGACAGAACTTTTTTTGGTAATTTCTGGCAATAATTCCTCCAGTTCAGCTTCTCTCACCTGTGGTGTCCCCCAAGGGTCTATTCTTGGGCGACTATTATTTTCTATTTATATGCTACCACTTGGTCAGGTTATTCATAAATTCAATGTTTCTTTTCATTTTTATGCAGACAATTCCCAGATTTATTTGGCTATTAACCCATCAGACCTCTCCACACTCAATAAACTTACCATCTGCCTTACAGACATCAAAACCTGGATGTTTGATAATTGTCTTTCACTCAACAGTGATAAAACTGAGGTGATGGTTTTTGGCCCCAAGGCCAAAAGAGATTTATTAGTTCAGTCCCTTTCTGTTCTTGGTTTTAACTGCACTCATGAAGCCAGAAATTTGGGGGTAACCTTTGATTCTGATCTTGGTTTTTCTAAACATTTTAAGAACCTCAAAAAAACAGCATTTTTTTTTTTTCAAATTAAAAATATTGCCAAAATCAGAGCATTTATCTCTTTAACCGATGCAGAAACTCTTATTCATGCCTTTGTCTCTTGTCATCTTGATTATTGCAACTCTTTATTTTCTGGTCTGCCCCAAAGTTCTCTTAATCGCCTTCAACTAGTACAAAACACTGCAGCACACTGCAGCACCTGTGCACCCTTTGGAGCACAAGTTAGGAGTCATCAGGACTCTGTATCACAGAGCAGACAGCATCCTGTTGGATTTAATATTTTATACCTTTTTATAATTCCTATCAAGCACT